TTACCCGTCTGCTATAATCATTGTTCATCCCTAATATTTAGGTGTACTTGGGACTTTTCAAGATACTATATCTACAATTCAATTCATTCATACGGTCCTCGTCATGCTCGTAAGAAAAAGTAGATACTATAATTGGATACACAATATTTCATTAATACAAGAAAACCTAAAATTAGATAATCCATGCATGCATGCAGGCATCGTCTTTTACAATTGGGACTTACACCTTACAGCGTCAGCAGGAGGTTGTGAACAAGCGTCATCACCTCACAAGTTGAGCAAAATATGATGCGTACGTTCCAACATATATGGGCTTGCTTTTAGAGGTGGATCAAATTTTTGGGCCTCCACCTAATAGCTCTTGGGTTTTCCTTTTCTCCTTGTTACTGGTTCTACTTTGCCTATTCGCTACCACCCGTATACACTCGTGCGACGCTGATCACGTCAGATATTTTGACCGTGACACCGGAGCTTTTTTTTCTGGGTTTTGTTCTTTTATGGATGCTTTAACAAAATAATTCATTCATGAAAACATTGGTCAAGTTTCTAGGTCGTGTAGGTTCATCCTCTAAACTAATCAATCGTACGCGTCTTCTTCATAACCTCAATTGTTTATGGAAGGACCAGTCTACCGTCTATGTACGTGTCTTCTTGCGGTGATGGAGGAGAACCATGTTTTGTCTAGTTTGTTGGTTTACATACTTTTATATTATTCCTCTCACCACTCCAAGGAAAGTTTTTTTGTACGACCCGTCGCATGCGGCTTTTTTGCACTGGTGTCTGACCATGGTGAAGGCCAGCCGATTATGACTCAATCAAACGCTTCTCGTCCGTAAAAATTCTATCATGTTTTGATGTATGACATAAATCAAAAGCAATGCAAGTTAAGACTTTTTTATTTTATTTTTTTATTTTTATTTTTAAAATTTGGTCAAAGAGTGTTTGGGCCCAAAATATTATTTCGGGCGGAGCTAGGAGTTGTTCTTGACCAAGTAATCTTCTTCTAGAATTATCATGGGCCGTCCAGTCAGGATTGGCCGAATCCTATTGCAGGACGGATTGGTTTAGATAAGGATGGAGTAGTCGAGACCTAGTGCAATGAGGAGTCTTAAGAGGCTAAGGATGATGAGACTTAGGAGATGAATCTGGTTTGATGATTAGCTCGGTTCAAAGTCCTTTTGGAGTTAGGATTGGCTGAAACCTAATCAAATTAGGTTGAGAAGTTCTAATCCGAGTATGATTTTAGCCCGGCTATGATTGGTTTCGCTACTATAAATAGAGGAGGGAGTATATATTCAAGCCCCTCCAATTGAACACACAAACTGTCTTGCGCAAACTCTCGCTCTATGCGAAACCTCTCAACAACCTTGAGTTTTTTATTTTATTTTTTCCGCCAACATATCTTCAGTTTGGATAAATAACACCGTAGAGTTAGCCGATCGCTGAGCAACTAAAGATAAACAGCATTGCTTCGAAGTCGACTGATTACCTATCCAAGTCTCGGTCGACAAGGATTTTCGAGTCCTTGTTGGTAGAGGTCATCTCATCAGCCTTCTCGGCGAAGTGATGTGTTACCAGGTTACTACATTCGGCACATTGAAAGACTAATCTAATATTGAACTTCGCAAAACTAGCAGTCTTATCTTTAGGTTCTAGAACTCGAAGGCCAAGACGTGTTCCTTCCTCAGCTGCAATTGCAAGATCAAGAAGTCAGCAGCACGCTCGACGCAACATCAACACATTTTACTCTCAGCCCGAGCTCAGCCGTCGAGTTGGCACGTCCCACACATAACCGAATGATGTAGTTAACTCATTAGTTACTCGGCATGTGCACCATGTATGCTTAATAGTTTTTAGGATCAACAAAAAGTCCAAAGAATCTTGCAATCTAAAACTCTAGTGCATAAGACCTGGTTTGGTACTGAGGTGATTTTGAAAAAAGCTGCTATCAAAAAAAAGCTGGGAGCTGTTTTTGTGTTTGGTAAACACTCAGCTTCAGCTTTTTTTCACAGTTTTGGATGAAAAAAAGCCAAAAACAAGAAGCTGCAAAACCCAGCTTTGAAAAACCGGCTTTTTTTCACATCTGTTTTACATAAAAGTTTACCAAACACTCTAATACTGTTTTTTTTTCAAAAGTACTTTTACAAAAAAGTTTACCAAACACTCTGCTGCTTTATTTCACAGCTGCTTATTCTCACAGCACAGCAGAAGCAGCTTTTTTTCAAAGCACAGCAATACCAAAACCAGCCCTATCATGTGTTGATGTGTGAAATTTCGACTTAATAATGCAAATGCAGTACGTACTAATGGAAAGTGGACAGTGTTAGTAATGTGGTTTGCACTGGTAGCTCAATGACGAATTACGAATCTTCATGGAAATAGCAGCTTAGGGTAGAAAGACTTAAAAGTCGTCTACGCTTAATTTGGTAACGTGGCTCTTTTACATATGGTTACATATTGTTAGCTCATATGGTGGATGGTCGAGATAAACGTCGATGGGTCTGTCTAGCGTGACCAACACAAGTCGGGTGAAATCAACATACAAGAATCTCGTATTGTTAACTTTGAGACTTACCTTACAAATTGATAAACCATGTCAGCTGTACAAGTCGAAAAGTGTGCGAAGTCAGCAATTTGGGTCATCTATGTTTGAAATCCTAGCTCCCGCTATTGAAACAAATTGCCACAGTTCAAATATCAGTCAAAGGATATCTGAACAATCCTAACTTATCTACATCTCTTTGTAATCTGTTTAGTTGTTTTGTAAATCTGAAATACTTGTAATCTGTAACAAACATATTCATGTAATCTCTATAAATATGAAGTCATTGACTCACTCATAATTAACTTAGTTGAGCTTATGCAATTCAGATCTTTATACCCTAGTTTAGTTTCTTTCACAAATAATGTATCAGAAAACACAAGGCTAGTTTTTTCTCGTCGGGTATTGTGACTCATGGTGATGAAAGTGTACAGCTAGAGTGAGGATCCTCACCGGATCCTCTTTGTAAATCATTGTAAATTTTTTACATCCGTTCATTATACATCATGCGATTATAAATCATTGTAAATTTTTTTATTTAAAATTGAATATAAACAGTACCTCTGATCGCATCGCATAATGCACAGTGAACATATATGATTAGAGGATCTCCACGATCTTCACAACAAAATTCAGGCGAGGATCCTCTCTCGTACAGCTAAAACGTCAAATATATGAGAGATCATCGGCAACGTACGTACCCTTGAAGACAGCTTTTATATATTTTATGCTTCAAGAATCTCACATACGACTAAATGTACACCAATATTCGATTCCAAACCAAGACCAGAAATTATGTTCAATCAAATCTGCAAACAGTGGACGAGTACTGAGAGTACGAACCAAGAAATGTCACGGGAAATAGTCAAAAACGTAATTAGTGGGGTTTTAATGATAACTTTCAGTACCAGTTCATAAACAACACACAAATTGTCCGACGTTACATTTATACAAGATAGTTTCTTCGTTTCGTGCCGACGTAGCAAACCAGATTTCTGCTGTTTCGCGTGACATGCGAAATGAGGGAGGAAGCAAGTTCAAGAGACACTGGTGAAAATGCTGGATCGAACATTCAAAGATTTAACTACTATCAGGCATACGTATGGATGGATTTCCTGGTAATTTGATCGCTTGGCTAGGTCGAATCGATGTCAACTTTATCAATTTATAGCATTTTCGACCATATGATAGAAACGGATAAAGGAGATAAGGGAGAAGCATAAAGATATTCCATTGACAAAGACTATATTGCTGCCAACTACAAAGAACGAAAGAGAGGCTAATGCTGACCACGTATAACTTCAGCCTCACAAGTCATTTTCAAACACAGAGATAAACCTCTCAAACAATTTAGACAATGCCAAAAGCCGTAAGTTCGATGAACTGCATAATCTCTTTTACAATGTGAACCCACGAAACCGAAACTTCTTGATCATCTGTCCAGCGATGATCCATCATATGTGAACCTCGGAGAAAAGCTATTGAAACTAGATAAGGGTTTGAAATTGCTAGATGCTTACATTATGGAACAAAACCAAAGACCAATCTGACACCACGAGGCGAGACAAGTTTGATGAGTCGCCTGGTGAAGCAGTTTTCCACATGGTAATGACAATCAAGATATTCAAACAGATTTGACGGAAAAGTCGTGTTCTTAGGGAAACCAAATGGAGTTCTACCTGTTCCCTTCTTAAGTTCTGAAACTAAAACAAGACGCGTAATTTCCATCGTACTCCTTGGAATATGCCAAAGCCAATTGAGAGGGTTACAAAGTCTCACAAATGTATTGTACTTGTATATAAACACTAAGCACAACTAATGGCTCTTAAGCTGTGTAACGATGAAACATTAACTGGGAACAGAATACAGTAGTCAGCATATACCGACAAATACAACTCAGATGCTCAAAAGAAAGAAAATCTCTGAAGATCTTTAAAGTGACCTACTTTGGCATATTCTTAGTCAATTACAATTAGCATTCTGGATAAGTCTTCTAATTGCACTCAAGAGTCATGATAATGTTAGCCAATATCCAGCAATAGAATTCAGTTCGGTGAACCAGATCGATTAGCAAAGCTGCAAAAAATTTGAGTTCCTAACTGATATTCTGGAGTCAAAGACGTTAGAATGCAATATCATGTCCAGGGAGTGAAATGCACTTGGACATTCAAGTAGACAATATGGAAGGCAACTAGGCTATCAGCCTATTAACAACGCCACTGCTGTGAGACCAATATCACATGAATCACATATCTAACAGCCTAAACCCTGTAGTTATAACAAAGAAAAATAATTGGGTTGCAAGTAAGGAATTCATGGGGGTAAAACACAAAGATGTGTTCTTCGGAAGTGGCGTGAAAAAGCAAGTAAAGCGCAAGTAGTATGATAAGTAATTGCCCCGTAATTTGTGCAAAAACACAATGAAGATCTAATATAATTAAGAAATCTAAGAAGAAAATTGGAGATTAAGTATGACTATAGAACTCTATGTTTAAATTTTTCACAAACAAACTTAGCACCACTTGATCCACACCAAGTGGAGAACAAAACCAATTAAAAGGATGCCTTACACTACAATCAACACACCTCTGAATTCAAAGCAGCAGCAGTTGAGCCCAAACCCAAAGCAATTTGACTGTCAACAATTATCCCACCTGCAAAAGCACTTTTTAACAATCAAATTCCCCTATAGGCTAAAGCTAACAGAGTGCTGAAAAATTAAGCAGATTTAAGCAAAAGCACCTGTAAATATGGAGACTTGAGTCATGCAATGGAGAGAAAAACAAGGGGCAAAACAAAATCCAGTCCCTATTGAACTCCCTCAAGTATCTTTTTCTTCACTTTTTTCCAATTATACAATACAAATAGCATTACCAAAAACAACAAACTCAGTCTCCCAACAAAATGCTACTGCTTTTTGCATTATCCCATCCAAATTTCACAAATTCTAATGCGACCACTACTGTCCGGATCCTTGAGAATCGTCCTTGGAAGGCGGTTGCTGGTGGTGGTGGTGGTGTTGCTGTTGGTGGTGCTGCGGCGGCTGCTGGTGTACTCTAGCATGCCCCATCTGCTGGTAAATCTGGCTCAAAGCCTGAGAGTTCAGAACCCCAATATGTCCATCCTGTGACAACCCAAGTTCCAACCCAGGAAGCTGCTGCTGCTGCTGCTGATTGCCCCCACCCAAAATTGAAGTAAAACTCATCGGACCCATGTTAGAGACAGGCAAGTCAAAGCCAGGAAACCCAATTTTTTGCAGGTAATTTGAACTCTCAGTGCCCAGATTTGTGGTGGCTGATGGAGGACCAGATGATGACTGGAACCCAAAGCTACTGACAGGGGGCCATAGCCCGCCCACCCCTGCCACATGGGGTCTCCCCAAATTCCCGCCCACCATTGCCCAACCGGTCCTACCCCCACTGGACCCCCCCAATTCATCGATCTTTTGGTGCAATCCAGCTGATAACGAAGTCCCCTGTTGCGAAACAGAGCCCCCTGCCGCCGCCAAAGCCGACGCCGGCATCGTCCCGGTCCCGTGGCGGCAACAATCGACGGCTCGGCCTGCTGGAGGAGCCACTGGATTGTTTCCCCATCGGATTTGTGACCCAACTCTCTGGTCAATTGAAAGATTCTGGCGGCGCAGAGGGCCGGCATCCGTATCCTCCTTCCCCTGCCTTCGACTTTAGTGTGTCTGTCTTTGTTGGAGCTTCTCTTGGGCGCCAACTGCTTCTTTCCCGACTCATCTTTGTCGGCGATTACAATCTGGAAGTCTTTGATTTCAGCAGGTTTGTTGTCGCTCATGTTGTTGTTGTTGGGTTGAGGTGGTTGTTGTGGTTGCTGCTGCTGCTGCTGAGGTTGTGATTGTGGTTGTGGGGGGAGGCTCAAGAAGCTGGGTATGTCTTGTGTCTGCTTTGAGCCCTTGGGATCCATGAACAGGGGATTACAAAAATTAAATGAAAAAAGAGAAAAATGGGTCCTCTTTGATTGAAGAAGGTGACCTGAAAAGTCCTACACTTTCATGAGTTATCACTGTTTTGGTAAAGAAAGAGATGACAAAACCATCAAGATATTAAAATCCCAACGTATCCCATTGTCAAATTCTACTCTCTCCTCCCGGCAGCCTGCATTTGGTTGTTTTTTTACTCTCTCTCTCTCTCTCTCCAACCTGTCCGTCCTTTCTTACTTTTTCACTTGCCACTTTTGACACTGTAGCGGGGTTTGACTCGGCAGATATGAACACAACTTCAAGTTTCAACTGCCAACTTCGTGTTTTCACTCTCCGGTCTCGAAATATCGGTGTGTCGGTACTTCGAATTAGTTACACATTTATATAAACAAGTTCAACTTACGACAATACATGATTAGTCAGATAAGATTCCTTCTAAAGCAAATATGAGTTTAGGAAAGTATTTAAGAACAATGTGTTCTACTCTGTATTTAAAATTTGAATTCTCCTCCTGCAATTTACATAAAGTTAGTGTAGAAAATATATTTTTAATTACGGCGTGCTGCGCACGACTTACACGTTTTAAATATTTATATGCATAAATGTATTTGACAAAATGAAAGTCAAATATTTGAAGTGAATAAATAATCTTAGATCGAAGGAACCCCTCATAAACTAATTAAAGCAGCTGAAACCACGTATTAAAATCGGTGTCTATTGAATTTATATTAAGAATAGAGAAAATAATATTTAATAAAGAACTGATTGAATCACATTATTAATAACTCATTGTGAGGCTAAGCCCACCCCACCCCCTTAATGAAGATAATATTGTTTGTTAAAAAAAAAAACAATCATTTGAGAACTAATTTAATCACATTATTATCCAAATGCGAAAGACCTTTTTTATAACCGACATTACACGGCTCTTAAAATGTTTTGAACGTGTTTAAAAATATAAAAAGTAATATTTAATGAAAAACTAATTAAATCACATTATTATTAAATTATTGTGAGGTATTAATTATAAAAAAAAAAATTTGTACAAAAGAAATTAATTATTAAAAAAACACTATTAAAATGACGAAAATACCTATTCCATATTTGATGCATTATTTTAGGTTGCTTTTGAAGTTTTTTGTTTGATGAGCATTTTTATCTAATTATTTTTTGTGAAGCTTGTGACACCAAAAATACTTTTCATTGGACCCTTGGCTTTATGTATAAAGATAAAAGAGACGATTCTTTCTACCAAACATCAATGTATCATATTACATTATCACTTAAATTTTAATTAACCCATTAAATTCTCTTAAATCATTAAACACACATTCTATCGTTCTAATAATATATATCATAAATCATTGTACTATAAAGGTGCGTTTGTTTGCCTTCCTTAAGTTCCACTGCACTAGACTGGATTAAGAATTAGCTAGTTACATGTTTGTTGGCTGAAGGGATTAACTTTAGTGGGACTAGAGTTCACTCGCCCCAACTATAGGGCTAGCTAAAAGGTCTTAGCGAGACCCCCCCATAAACCAACGGATTGTTAAGCCCATTCTCTCGTCCTGCTCGACTCCTTATCTGTCTAGACTAATTTGAAGTCACCCACCACTCCCCGCATCGTCTTCGTCCTGCTCCACAACTTCGCCAAACCATCACTCTAAGCACTGCTGCGTCCTCATAAGTCTCGCATGGCTTCCTTTTTCCATTTTCTCTTCACTTTCTTTGATTTTGTTATGAAGATTCGTGAAATTATACAGGGTCTTGATCGATTTCTGGGCTTTGATTGATTTTAGTCGTTAGAGCTTTTGACCGATTTTCTGGGTTTTTATTGATTTTTGGATTTATGGTCTCTTTTAACACCTGCTGTATCATCATGGATTAAAAATTTTATCCATCGACAGGGTGAGAATATTTGTAAAGATGTAGTTAGAGAGGTCAAAGAAGAGACATGAGCAGTGATATAATTGTTGTGAATGTAAAGCAAGGATCCTTTTTCTTGGGGATCCTGTAATTGTGTCCGTTTATCGTACATCGTGCGGTCATAAATTATTTAAAATTTAAAATTTAAAATTCAAATATAAATAATACCTAACGAAAACTAACCACATGATGTACGATGAACATATATAATTGCAGAATCCCTAGGAAAATGATCATCGCCGGATCCTTTTCCAACCGTCTTTTTATATTGGGTAAATTACACTCTCATACCTCAGGTTTGGAGTCTATTTCAATTACTTACAACATCTTCAAAACATTTCAATTTCATACCTTAAGTACTATTTTATTTCAAAATAATACATCCGTTACATTTTCTATCCATTGATCTGTTAAGTGTTACCGTGGCTTCCACATTTGGGCCACGTGGCTGCCAAATGTGTGCCACGTGGGCAAAAAGATTTTTTTTTTTTTTTAAACCTAGAAAAAAAAAAAAAAAACTTGAAAACCCAAAAACACACCCCACCCCTCTTCTCCCTCCTAAGCCTCCCAACCACCTCCCTTTCCTCCACTCTCTTCACCTCCCATCCCATCCCACCCCACCTTCTCTTATCTGCAACCCCACCCACCCTTAGCAAACCTAACTCCATTCAAACCACCACCAACCAAGCACCGAAAAAATTTAAAATTTGAATGCATACCTTGTTTCCTGAGCCGACCAACGAACCAACGAGCCCACTCGGTGATGCGTCGGGGAGCACTAGGTCCTGGTTTTTTTTTGGGGGGGGGGAGTTTTCTGGGTTTGGTTGCAGGTTTTTTTTGGGGTGGGAAGGGGGGTTGGATGTTTCTTGGTTTGCTTCTGGCAGGGGTGTTCGGGGGGGGGGGGGGGAAGGGAAGGTTTTTGGGTTTGTTGGGGGGTATGTGGGGATCATTGCTTCTCTTTCTTTCTTTCTTTTTTTTTTTTTTTTTAATCAGGTTTTTTTTTCTTCTCCAGGTTTTAGAAAAAAAATAAAAAATTCTTCTTCTTGCCAGGTGGCACACATTTGGCAGCCATGTGATACAAATGTGGCAGTCACGTCAGCACTTAACGGATCAATGAATGAAAAATGTAACGGATGTATTATTTTGAAATAAAATAGTACTTAAGGTATGAAATTGAAATGTTTTAAAGATGTTGTAAGGAATTGAAATAGATCTCAAACCTGAGGCGGTAAAGTGTAATTTACCCTTTTATATTTTTCTATAAATTGACACGGAGTTTTTAGCATTAGGTAAGAAACTTGCTTTCTGATTAAATAAGTGTTGTATAGATTTACACATGGTATGCATCAGATTACTACTTTCTCAGACCATCAATTTTGAACAATTGATTGAGTGGATGGTTGTTTGTGAAGTTCGGTGTTTGTATTGCATTTTGTTGAGTGAGGGGTGCAACAGATGAAGAGTGAAATAATAAAATAAAGGAAAATTGAAATGAATGTTTTTGAGCTAAAAAAATATTTTTGTTTAGGACATAGTTCGGCACTGCACTAAATACTTTACTATTTTTATCCTGCTTAGTCCAAGTCAAGCCAATTCAACTTAGTCCCTGAAACTAGTCCAATCCAAAATAATCCAGTATAACAAATACCCTTAAGATCTTGGAGGGAAGAAATCAAAAGCCCATTCCCTTATATTTCCCACATTCCATGGAGTCATACGGACCATGGTCCATGGGTTGAGCATTGATTGGATTCCCCTTCTTCATTATTGATTTTTCATGCAAATGCTATAATTGCAATAGCAAACCAATACTTATGATGCCATCTCTTGTAAGGGACTCAACTGCCAGCTGGACGCTTGAGATTTCAACACCTGGCAACTCATGAATGGGTGGTGGTGGGGTTTGCTTCTAACCAACTCTTCTAGATGGATGAGGATCCTCTCCTGAGCAAAGGGTGAGAATCTTCCTGACCAAGCTCATCGGATTGTTGAAATTTTATTCAAAAACTACAAATAGGGAACCCCTCTTAAAATTATAATATTGTAGTCATTAGATAAAATTTTAACGATCTAATAAGTTTGGTCAAGAAAATCCTTATATTTTGCTCTCCCTTCTAGGTCTAGACCCATCCTTGAGATATTATATAAAAATTGATATATGAATTTTAAAAAGACACACAGGGAAAGAACAAGATTGTATGACGGGCCCAGCAGCATTCAGCAGCATCAAGGCTTAAGTGATACGGAGTTTTTACATATTACAAAGGATGCTGTTGTTAGTTGTTACAGAATACAAAGGGTTTTTTTTTAATTTTTTTAGTGTTCATGTGGACTCAGATTGAAACCTGACACTTAATCATTGTTCATATGAATGTCACGTCATAGATTAACGGTTGTTTTAATAGAAAATTTAACGATGAATGAAAGTGTCTCAAAATTATCACGTTAGGTATTAACTGAGATGAAAAAAACTTGATGTATAAAATGTTGAAAACTAAGAAATTTTAAGGTATTAAACAGAAAATTACTCTAAAGAATAAGTCTAGTAAATTACATAGAATAAGTTTGCAGTTTATTGTAATATTCTGGTTCAATGAAACAAATTAACATAATTTTATATTATTAATTAAAAACGTCACAATACTCTGATTACACTTCTTTGACCAAAAAAAGAAAAAAAAAGAAGATACCAACTTAGTGGGCCCTTATGGGGTGGGGCCTTTTACTCAAGTTTCGAACAGTTCATGGGCCATCTACAAAATCTTACTTCTCATGGGACCGTGCTTGCTATATTGGAAGTTTACAATTGGAAATTACTCTTCCTTCATTACCCAAATCCAATGGCATAGACAACCAAAGTAGCTAAAATTATATTAAGGGCTGACGTGACATGTTATCTATTTAATTGTCTTTTAAAAATCTCATTCTAATAGATTAGACAAATCAAGTAAGCAAAATTATATTTTATTATTTTCTTTCATCTATAACATCTACATTTAACTTTTAGTTTTGTGCTCTTCATCCACATGGAATCTTTTACTATATAAGGATATGTGCGGTCTCATTTGCCTACTTTATAGTGTTGTATGCAACATTGCCTACTTTGGGAGGATAGGCAACATTTGCAAACTCAAGGCCTATACAATTGGAGCTAGTTTTTGCCTATGTGACTCATCAAAATCGGTCTGACTACTCAATTGCCTATACCATCGAAGATGCTCTAACAAAAAGGAATTATATGCAAAAAAGAGAAAAATTATGTGCTTATGTCACTTCCCTTCATCCCAAAGTTCATGCACATTTTTACCCTTCTCTTGAACCTTGAAAATTAACTTTTACATAAAAGAAATAATATTCCCTAGTGTTCAAGGATAATGGCAATGCGGTAATTATCTCTCAGAATTGTTCTG